TTAAAATTGATAGATTGCTTATTTTCGGTCAATACTGTTAAATCCCTTGTGTCTACTGTAAGCTCTTTCTTCTGCTTGAGAACATTTACATGTCTGTATCACCGGGTAATCCACGACCTTTATCACATTCGATGTATTGCTACATATTTACTCCATGCTACAGTAACAAACTTTTACTACAAGAGTCATAGCCCACATGTTATGTATTATAATCAACATCATTTATCACGGGAACCAGATTCACATACATCAATAAGGACTTTTTTGACCCACCCCCATAAAAATAAAAAAATATATCAAATTGACAAAACTGCATGCAAAGATAGTCACGATGTCGTTTTGGCATATTGGATTTACAAACGACTAGATTTGATGTTGTAAAGAGAGATGTACTCAGTATGATTTCAGCTTGGCTCCAGCGCTCCGTGGTTTATCGTACAAAACCTTTAAATTGTAAAATATGTAACTGCGCTATGTTGAACCGTCTAATAGTTAATCCCTTTATCCGCTAATCCAGCCTCTAAACTGCCTCGTCTGACAAAGAAACCCCCTGTATGCCATCCCGGCATTCAGTTAATCACCTCAACATGACCTTTCACAGGACATTCGTTTCACCTTGCTGTTTCGGAGGAGCAGCAGATAAGACACACATTAGCACGAACTGGCTACAGCTGGCTCACCCTCGCTGACAAATGACATGTGAAGATTAGGATATCATGTAAAGCACAACTCCATGTTTGGGGCTGGCCTTGGGACCCGTGTTGCCCATAGTGTGATAGCTTTGCATCTACATTCACATATTGCTGGAGGCATTGAGGATATCGCTCTTGTGGCGAGAGTTGAACCTTTGGCTTGCCCAGCATGCCATGGGTGGTCATCGTGGTGAGGTGTGGATGGTATCATCTGGGACACCCTGGTCAACGTCTGTTTACACCAATAACGCCGAACGATCGTCTTTTGTGCACAGTGTTTTCTATAAACATTTATCTAGGCTTACAGAGCCCACTCGAGATTAAGAAGTAGGATTTGAATACACGAGAGAAGGAAGAAGGATACCCTGCATTAGAAATCAATACTATCCCTAACTCACAATTCTGGTAAAACATTGAACAGTAATTTTGTTTTTTGAACGTGTTTTACTATAACGTCTTAACCCAACAGGCAGTTGGGTAGCCTAGTGGTTGAAGCGTTCGCTCTTCACGCTGAAGACCCAGGTTCAATTCCCCACATGGGTACAATGTGTGAAGCCTATTTCTGATGTTCTTCGCCGTGATATTGCTGGCAGATTGATACAATCGGCGTAAACCAACCTCACTCACTCACTTAACCCAACACGATATGTCACCGATCATTGCCGTTGTCGCAATAAGAAATCGCTTAGTTGACGACAAACTTGAGTATTTGTTCTTTGGCTTTACAGAATACTTTTAAGGTCATTGATGTAAGTAGGGTACACGTGCAGGTAGCTAAAGTAGCTGAAAGAGGACAACAAATGTTTTTCAACTTGATAAATAAAGTATCATTTCTTAAAAATCAACATAAATGGACGTGTCTTTAATAAAGAAGCTTGAACTAAGAAAGCGAGAACGCAACACTTCAACATAACGGAGCTGCAAACTTGAATGGGTTTCACATTAATCATATCATTTCATGTGTAACAAATGTGGTCAACAATTTGTCAAAAGATAGCAGGGACAGCGCTCTCTCAGTCAATAATGGTTTGCTTTAATTCAAATATCGCTTTCACGATATCACGAAATATGGTCATCATAGAAGAACGTATTTCATGCCCTGTAACAAAATAAATAAAATTGATGATTGATGTGTAATGTGTCTTGTCGACGTGGAGCATACATTGTGATTTAACGCTGGCATACTGCGAAGTGCGGGAAGCATTTTACCATAAAACTGTTCGTAAGCTTTATTAAGGCGAATCATTTTATCACAAACCTGTTTGTAAGCTTTATTAAGGTGAAATATTCTACGCTATACCTCTTCGTAAGCTTTATTAAGGTGAAATATTCTACCCGTAAACTATTCTTAAGCTTTATTAAGGTGAATTTATGTACCATAAAGCTGTTCCTGAGCATTTAGACGAATCATCTTACCACAGACCTGTTCGTAAGCTTTATTAAGGTGAAATATTCTACCCTTAACCTATTCGTAAGCTTTATTAAGGTGAAGCATTTTACCATAAGTCTGTTTGTAAGCTTTATTAAGGCGAAGCATTTTACCATAAATCTGTTCATAAGATTTATTAAGGCGAAGCATTTTAACATAAATCTGTTCATAAGATTTATCAAGGCGAAGCATTTTACCATAAATCTGTTCATAACATTTATTAAGGCGAAGCATTTTACCATAAATCTGTTCATAAGATTTATTAAGGTGAAGCATTTTACCATAAATCTGCTCGTAAGCTTTATTAAGGCGAAGCATTTTGTCATAAATCTGTTCGTAAGCTTTATTAAGGTGAAGCATTTTACCATAAATCTGTTCGTAAGCTTTATTAAGGCGAAGCATTTTACCATAAATCTGTTCGTAAGATTTATTAAGGTGAAGCATTTTACAATAAATCTGTCTGTAAGATTTATTAAGGTGAAGCATTTTACAATAAATCTGCTCGTAAGCTTTATTAAGGCGAAGCATTTTACCATAAATCTGTTCATAAGATTTATTAAGGTGAAGCATTTTACCATAAATCTGTCTGTAAGCTTTATTAAGGCGAAGCATTTTACCATAAATCTGTTCGTAAGATTTATTAAGGTGAAGCATTTTACAATTAATCTGTCCGTAAGATTTATTAAGGTGAAGGATTTTATAATAAATCTGCTCGTAAGATTTATTAAGGCGAAGCATTTTATCATAAATCTGTTCGTAAGATTTATTAAGGCGAAGCATTTTACCATAAATCTGTTCGTAAGATTTATTAAGGCGAAGCATTTTACCATAAATCTGTTCATAAGATTTATTAAGGCGAAGCATTTTACCATAAATCTGTTCGTAAGCTTTATTAAGGCGAAGCATTTTACCATAAATCTGTTCGTAAGATTTATTAAGGTGAAGCATTTTACAATTAATCTGTCCGTAAGATTTATTAAGGCGAAGCATTTTATCACAAACCTGTTTGTAAGCTTTATTAAGGTGAAATATTCTAAGCTATACCTCTTCGTAAGCTTTATTAAGGTGAAATATTCTACCCTTAACCTATTCGTAAGCTTTATTAAGGTGAATTTATGTACCATAAAGCTGTTCCTGAGCATTAAGACGAATCATCTTACCACAGACCTGTTCGTAAGCTTTATTAAGGTGAAATATTCTACCCTTAACCTATTCGTAAGCTTTATTAAGGTGAAGCCTTTTACCATAAGTCTGTTTGTAAGCTTTATTAAGGCGAAGCATTTTACCATAAATCTGTTCATAAGATTTATTAAGGCGAAGCATTTTACCATAAATCTGTTCATAAGATTTACTAAGGCGAAGGATTTTACCATAAATCTGTTCATAAGATTTATTAAGGTGAAGCATTTTACCATAAATCTGCTCGTAAGCTTTATTAAGGCGAAGCATTTTGTCATAAATCTGTTCGTAAGCTTTATTAAGGTGAAGCATTTTACCATAAATCTGTTCGTAAGCTTTATTAAGTCGAAGCATTTTACCATAAATCTGTTCGTAAGATTTATTAAGGTGAAGCATTTTACAATAAATCTGTCTGTAAGATTTATTAAGGTGAAGCATTTTACCATAAATCTGTTCGTAAGCTTTATTAAGGCGAAGCATTATACCATAAATCTGCTCGTAAGCTTTATTAAGGCGAAGCATTTTACCATAAATCTGTCTGTAAGCTTTATTAAGGTGAGGCATTCTACCACAAAGCTGGTCTTAAGCTTTATGAAGGTGAAACATCCTACCATAAACCTTTTCCACCACAATGCTACTCGTATGTTTCATTAAGGTGAAGCATTCTACCACAAAGCTGTGGGAGGGGGTGGACATTGAGATATAGATTGAATTTGTAAGTCTATTATTTAATTTAGTGATGATGGGTTTCTTCTGTGAACATTCAATTGTCCCCGAAAAAAATTGTAATAAAAAATAATCATGCTTCAAGAACGAAATTCCCGACCACAAAAATGACATTGCTGCAAGGTGTTCTTAAAAATATTCTGGCTCATAGTTGTATGTAATAAAGTATCTGGTTTTGTAGCTGGAGCTGAAAGAAATATCTAATCTCGATACAAAATCTACGTTAGTGCGAAGATGGTTAGTTATTATTTATGTACGGGGATTGTTACATCTTCGATATTTGTGGCTAAGGTCAGTAATTCTATACTTCTGTTAGCAGACAGTTTGTCAAATAAACGATATTCTGACTTTGGTTAGGAATTCAATATTTACGTAAGAGGACTGTGGTTACATGTAGGGTATTCTGACTAAAATCAGTTATTTATTACTTATTCAAGCGGGCTGTTATTTAAATCGACGATATTCTGACTATGGTCAGTAGTTTAATGTTGATGTAAGCGGCTGTGGACGTCGGGCATATAACGCTGTATCTGTGACGTAAGGCACATAACGCTGAATCTGTGACGTCGGGCACGTAACGCTGTATCTGAGACGTCAGGCATATAACGCTGAATCTGTGACGTCAGGCATATAACGCTGTATATGTGACGTCAGGCATATAACGCTGTATCTGTGACGTAAGGCACATAACGCTGAATCTGTGACGTCAGGCATATAACGCTGTATATGTGACGTTAGGCATATAACGCTGTATCTGAGACGTCAGGCATATAACGCTGAATCTGTGACGTCGGGCCCCAAACGCTGTATATGTGTGCTGGGGACGTTTATGACTCTTTGTCAAACATTTGAGATATAATTACCATCTCACCTAACCACGTGTGTTATTCTGTTACCAGGAGCAAAGGTCAGATGCACGCCCTGAACTAACCTTGACCTTCACTCGATTCATAATGATGCACTTTCTTTTGCAGGAAGTCGTGAAGCTGCCTTCAGTTACGCAATAAGTTCGGCGGGAGTTACATATGCCATCACCCAGTCGTGCAGTCTTGGCAACCTCACTAACTGTAGCTGTGATAAAGACAAAATGGACGGTAAACTCGCCCCCGAGGGGTGGAAGTGGGGCGGGTGTAGTGCCGATATTAAATACGGATTGAAATTAGCACGTAAATTTATGGATGCTCGGGAAATAGCAGAGAGTGCCAGATCGTTGATGAATCTTCATAATAACAGAGCTGGACGGAAGGTAGGCAATGAACGCATATTGTTGTATGATCATCTTTGATGTGTTTTATGCTTGTTTTAATCTTTCAGCTTGTGTACTTTACTCTTGTTAGCCATTCAACAAGAAGAGTTAAAATGACATACAATGATACAACCATTCCTAGAAAATGATTCCTACTAAACATATTCATTGGAAGAGAAAGAAACTTCGCGCAAGATAAATTGATACCCCTTTGATTTGTACCGTGACGTGACGGAAACAGCCTCCTCCTTGGGCTTTCTGGTCCGTGGCGATGTCAGGGCACCACCTGAACATCTCAAGTTTAAGTCTTGTTAACACGAGACAGCTCAGCTATCTGCTGTAATCCCGTCTTTACCTTCAGCATGTGTTAACTGCTTGTATCCGCGTCATCCCCCACCTAGCCTCTGCCTTTGGAAAGACAATGACATAGATCACTGGGAAAAAATCCTGAAAGCAATAGCCCAAGTACCCGAGAAACCCACGTGAAGGATTAATTTGCTGCAGATGTATCCTGGTTGGTAAAACACACCTCTGTCATCCGCCATCTAGGTATCACTGTAGGTCCCACTGCTGCAGGCGACATTCCTCGACAACTTCTTTTCCAACAATGGAAATAAAAACGAAAGCTAAGACGTACAAGATAACACAAACAACATCACACTGCCTGGGTAGGAATAGGCTAATATATGGCGAGCGTACAGTTTAGAGGGCCAAAGGTTCGTCGGTGTGGCTAATTCGATACATGGAGTTCTTGCAGACCAAGCCTGAGTTTCGTTGCTGCTCGCATTAACGGGATATATGTTTTCAGGGCCCTTTCAACCCCGTCTTTTGCAATAACCTTAGCCGTCACATGTGGTAAGGGGAGCCGTCCTGGCGAGACAAGATGTTTATTTATTGGTGCTAGTCAGGAAGGTCCGTTTTCGATTCTTTGTCAACTCAGTGTTGAGGGTAATTAGCATCTTCACCTGATATGGCGGACAGCGTGGCCAATGGGCACTGCAGACACAGCTATCTGGAGGCTGGGCCCTGCCTTGTCAAACATGGTACATGATGCCATCTTCACGCAACTACACCACACGAACTGCAGTGTGCATGCGGGCTGGTCACCTGGGTGCTGTGACGTCATTGCTTCTCCTTAAGGAATTGGTTATCTTAAGCCGAGTTGAAACTTGTTTTATCATGTTGTGTAATAACGTGCTCTTACGTAGCATACACGTGTTTGATGTCCTATTACATGGATTCAGTGTCGAGTTTGGCAAAATAATATCATCAGTATATACAATGGAAATATTCCAGCTGCAGAGTTAAATAACATTCATTCATTCTTTCATTTTCATAAACAAAGATATAACAAAAACATCAACACCGTTTTCGTAACGTATGTCATTCATTTGCGAACGAACGTAAAATCATAAATATTGTATCCTTGTGGGAAAAAACTGCCAGCTTTTGTGCCATTGAAGAACTCTAATGCTGCCTGGCGAGTCTCATGTGAACTGATGTACTAGTGAAAGCCCACATTTAACATATCGAATGAGCCAGCACTACGTCAGACGCAAAGATGGCGATTTCTCGGCTGGTCCAGAGGAACCTTCCCCTGTCCTTCATGACGTGGCCTAGCTGTCGTCATGGACACTGTATGTGATAGTGACGTCACGGACATTGTATGTGATACTCAGGGATAATGACAGTCCTTGAGTTAGAGGGTAACAAATACACAACTAGGGTATTTTCAAATATTCTGGTTATTAATAACCACGATTATTCATACGAACTTGAAATACGGGTACGTGCGATTATTCAACTGCTGGTGGTTTTAGAATATCAGTCACCGTTGTACGTACAGTATGCTTGTGCCCAGATTGTAATGTTTTCATGTTTCATGTCATATAAATCCTAATCGTGTTGTAACTATTATAGGCTATATACTGTTGACCTCATCATGTCCCTACGTCTCAGGATGATCTGATTGACGTCCACCTGTCACCTCACCTTCACCGTCTATCAATCAAATTGATTGATTAGTCGCATACCCAGGCAAGCCACGCCCTTTACGATATCAGCATTTGTGGGTAATCCGGATCACCATACCACAAACCTGTGTTAATCGAATTGAATTTGTTCAAAAACTTGCTGATCGGTCTTGTGAACCATTTTGTGTCATCGTTTTTGCTTTACGAAAACTGACACTCTCAGGTTGAGCATCAAACCTGTTGGATGATGATGACAGAAGATTGAACCACATCCTTGATCAATTATTTCCGTGTTATTAAACACCGACAGGGCTTCCTGCTCTTCTTCATGTCTCAGCATCTCATCGGCGAGTTGTTTACAAGTTTACATATTGGATCAGAATGATTGGAGAATATATCTGAACAATTAGATAGATCTTTAAAAGGGTTCGTCACAAACATAAATACATGAAATTTATCTTTGTCACGTGACCAAGGTCACAGCTGTGTAACAACAATACAACGATGTGTGTGTTTATTGCTGGATACCCGACAGGGCGAAGTCGCGTAGTTGGACGCCGGCGCATCGCCCCGGAATAATAATTGACCTTTTAACCTTACATGTCCTCAAAGAACAGGAACATAACAAATGAATGTGTTTGTTCCCAACTACCGTGTAGATATGTTGTTGTTCCCGTATCTGACATAACACACACATTAATAAACCTGACTGACTGACTGACTGACTGCACGGGTGGGCGGTGTGTGGGCGGCCGAGCCAGGAGGTGCTGTGTACACAACAATTGACACAGATACCCGGTAAACAGCGCTGTGTCCCCTCCCACCAGCTCCCCACACACACCCCACACCCCACCCATAATTGCTACACAGGGCGTTTAATGTTAAATCTAAGACGTTCTTGAAAGCTCCTTGACATGTACTTATCAACTTGTGTGATATTGACAAAAAAGTTTTTATTTTGGACGTGAATTTGTTTCTTTTTTGTTATTTAAAAACATCATTATTTACTCATTCACACTGAATCGTTGTTTCTCATATCTCCGTAATGAGTTTGAGTAATGAGTAATGGCCTTGCTTGTAGTAATGTGGTACTGAATCTCTGGCCCAGTCGTCTAAGGCGCCGCCATTCGTTGTGCAGAGTTGCGTCCCTTGGGCACGCCAGAAACCTATGATTGTGGGTTCGAATCCCGGTTCTAGGTTTGTCAGCACCATACCCATCCTCATGGGTTTCACCGAAGTGGTAAACGTCTCAGACCTGCTTTCCTCCCATGTTAAGCTGACACGCCGCGAGTGATATACGTATTGATATAGCACATAATACCACTGATGTGTTTATAGATATATCAACACGACGGGTGGCATATACTTGGACACATCAGACAAGACAATTAACATGTATATTGATTTATCAACATAACGGGTTACGTGTATTTGGACATATCAAACCGCTCGAGTGATAAGCATATTGTTATATCAATCCGAGTGAGATGTATATTTGATATATCAACATAACGATATATATATATATATATATATATATATATATATGCAAACAAATCCCGCAAAGGTAGTAAAATGGTAAATATCTGACAGAGTGTTGCCAATACCTAAACAAAATTAAAACCAGGAATACATTCGTCATTTCTGCATTGATTGGGGTTGATTTGTGTGGATACTTCTGACATTTAGTGAAACGATGGAGAAACACGCAACAAAACCCACAAAAAAACACGTGAGCGCTTGGCGCCGAAGCACACGTAATTAATGTGCACATGAAACATCACTTGTTGGGCTATGAACATGTTTGGGTTTTGTTTGCTTGACAACAAGTCACAGCTAAAACATGAATGACGGAAGCCCAACGCAACAACGCCATCTGCCTACTGCATACACTCGAGTTATCTTCGGCCGTAGACAGGTTTTTCCACGTAGCACCAAACACCATTACAAGACGGTGAAACCATTATCAGACACACGGGACCTTTCAAGATCCGGTCGACCTTGTATCACTACTAGAGCAAAAGACAGATTCATACAGCTACGTCCCTTACGTCAACGAACCACCACGTCTACCTCTACAACTACGACAACACCACGATTGCGTAGGATGTCGGCCCAGACAGCGAGGAACCGTTTACGCGGTGAAGGTATTCGCGCTGGACGACCAGTTCGAGGGATCCGTTTGACGGACCTGCATCGTCGGCTGCGACGTCAATTATGTCAAGTTCACAGAGTATGGCCACAACTGCGATAGAGACACGTTTAGTTTTGTGACGAGTCACTTTTAACGCATCGCCGTGTGCATGGAATACGTTTTGTTTACAGGCGTCGCGGGAAACGTTATGCAAGGGACTGTATGCAGGAAGCGGACAGATTTTTCGGTGGCAGTGTGATGATGTGGGCCGCCATCTCCTACACTGGTAGAACAGACTTGGTGCAAATTCAAGGGAATTTAAAGACACAACATTACACGGATGCGATTCTTCGGCCACTAATACTTCCCATTGTGTAACAAGCGAACGTCATTTTCCAACAAGACAACGCCCGACCGTACACGGCAAGACTGACAACAGCCTGTTTAAGGAATCACAACATCCAGTCCTGCCTAGGCCCTCTAGGTCTCCAGATTTAAACCCAACTGAGCATCTATGGGATGCACTGGATCAACGACTGCCAGCACGTCAGCAACAAGGACCGAATCTCCGACACTTGGCTCAAGCCCTGCAGTCAGAGTTGGTGAACATTCCCAAAGGCACAATTCGGGATCTGACTGCCTCTGCTGCTGCTCTTATCTGACAACGACGCCAGTCAGTTGTGGACTCTAATGGTGGCTCTTCAAGATATTGAGAACAGATGACCTTCACCTTGAAACTTTATTGTTCCATGGGTGTTATACGGAACGTGGGTCAGTGAGAATGAAGTGTGCAAATTTGAACAATCGATTACCATCTGTTAATTTTTATATGATAAATAAAATATATATCTAAAATCACGTTTGTGTTTCGTCTTTTTGCAGAGTATATATTG